TTTATATTAGCCATTTATTGCCAACTTTGTACTTATCTAAGTTTAATAATTTATGATGCAGAACTACAGGCTGGTGATCTGCCGGATGCTTTGCAAGCATACGTTTGTCATCGGTGGCAATGTTTGCAGTAACCACGGTAACTGAGACTGCTTAGTACTGGCGTTATGCTTCTTTGTTGATGAAATGAATGCACTTTACTCTGTTGAAACAGATGTAACATTTTACTGTTTAGAATTAATAACTTTTAATTAATTCTCATTTGACCTGAATTGACCTAGAAATTTATATGTTATATATTGTGCAAAAAATATAGTTTAATTAGAAATAACAATAGCTACCATTGTTATTTGTAATCAACTGTCTGTTTTGCACAGTATATCATATACTGTGCAAAAAAAGACTTTTTATTAGATATAACAACGGTAGCTATTGTATTATATAGTATAAACAATTCTTAATTGTTAACATCTACTATAATATAAGATGATTTATAATTAAACTATAGTAAATTATCGCAAGGAGGATGAAACACTATTTCCAATGAGGTACATATTTTCATGCCTTGTACTTACCTACCAAACCTGTATAATAGTGATTATTATAAATTAAATGCCAGAAGACAATAATGATATTAATTCCAAATAACTGCTGTAAATGTAGATCATAATTTATGATGGCAGATTCAAGGGGTGGGAGGGTGGAGGGGTCCAACCAGTGGCTGCACCAGCGGGGTGGCAGGGGTACTTAAGATCCCCCCGCCGGACAGAGCTCATCGGGCAGTCAGACCATAAAACATAAAAATAGGCCCACACCAAGCCAACACATGTCTGTCATAGTCTGAGAGTGCCATTTTCGGCCATCTAGAGGTTGATATTCTTTTTAAAAAATCTCATTTAGGAGGGGAAACCCCCCTCAACCTCTTCTCCCAGCTCGAGCCTACCTCTTATTGCCTAGCCCCCCCCCCCCCCCCTGTTGGACAACCTAGTCCCCCAGAAAATATATCCTAGAGCCGCCACTGGGTCCAGCAACTCCAAGGACCCCTACATTTTTTTTCGAAAAATGTAATTGAGAAAAAAAGAAAATTTGTTTGTATTCAAATTTAAGTTTGAGAATGCCTCTAACCTTAGCCCCAACCATAGTGGCCCTGCTATGGGGGGACCCTCTATGTGAAAGTCCCTCCCTTGACCTCCCCTCTATTACAAATTGCTAGATCCGCCACTGCTTTAAATTGATCAAAATATCCTGAGATGTTTAGTAATTGGCATCGCAAGGCAGTCTGCAGTTCATTGACCAGTTCATTAATTCTTACTTGTTTACCACAGTACTGAGCAAAGCGAAAATAAACCATTTAATTTGTACATTTATGTTATTCTTGTTTGTTTGGTCCTTGGCATTGACACTATAAACTTAATTTTTTATGGCCTTATTTATTAGCGATATCCATGACTTAATTTTCAAAACCAAAAAGCTATGTAAACTTTTGATTTGATATGAAATGCATCTTCAATTAATTATTCAAACGATTTAAAGCTGATAATTAGCAGATTGTTGAATCTCTGGCAGATGGCGTGCCATCAATGAAGTCAAGAGCCGTATCAGACATGATGGTGCCGCAACCACCGAGCAATTATACCTGAAGATATTTGTAAATCTTAGGCTTAATTTGCAGTAGCACAAAGTAAATAACATTAATAAAGAGGGAGCGTTTATATAACGTTTGCTTCTGGCTGCATTTTTATGTTTATTGGAGCATACAATAGTGAAATTAATCGTGAATTGGTTTGATGTCCTAAAAGCTTTTAGATTTTATGTATGTACAGTATTCAAAATTCAAATTATTAGGTTAATTTATTAAAATTTATTTAAATTAATTCACAAAGTCGGAAAAGATTGATTTTTTTTTGTCATGTAAAATACATATAGTGCATGAACATCTTAATTCTAAATACAGATATTACTGTAGATATTTCAAGTAAAGGTAGATACAGCTATTTAAAACTAGAGTAGTCACTTTATAGAGTGCCTGAATACCAACAATAAGTAAGCCGTGTATAATGGGCGAAACTGCTGCATACCCTCAAGAAAATAATGGAATCGCCCGTCGTATTCAGGTACATTATTTTCTTGAGTGCTGTCTGAATACGAGGAGTGATTCCATGCGATTCCATTATTTTTGTTATACTCGAGAGTACTAGCATTTCCGTGACCTTGACCTTGTCATTTGACTTTTTCAAAAACTAATGGTATCTTTCGATTATTATGTACCATTCCACTAAATTTTATGATTATCCATTCATTTGCGTAATCTTGCTAACAGACAGAAACACAGACAGAAAGACTGTAGACATTTAGTCAATACATAACCTCTGGCGGAGGTAAAAATTAAAAAAACTCATTTTAAAAAGGTCAGGAAAAAAAAAGTTACGGCACTAATCCATCCTAACTACGTTGGAGTTAAAGAAAATTAATACCTGATGCACATTCGACGAATTGCCCAAGCTTGGGGAAAGCACTTGCCCAACGCAATTTCAGCTGTGTGCCTGGGTTAAGCTGACTGTGCCAAAATTCTCTGACCATTATTCTGATTCTTATTAATGATGTTTTTGTAAAATTTCTGAAAAATAAAATCTTCAATATTTACAGACTTAATAAAATTTGACTTCATGTTCACTTTGTCATTGAACTGACAACTGACTCAGTTTAGGTATAGCTACTTTATTGTATGAATCTACAGTACTTATCATGTGTATCTGTAAATAGTATATTTTGTGTATTTCACATCTTCTTTATATGCATGAATAGAGATAAATGATAAACTTTGAATTCAGTTCAATTTTCCTCATGGTAGGGCAATTTGAAACAATATACTTTCTGTCAATGCCTACTGGACTTTTCTACCCCAGTCAACAGGTGGGTTCTGCTACAGTAGATGCCTAAAAAATAAAAGACAGCTTCCAAACACACAAACATTACTGTGTTCCTCCATCTGATACTTTGGTATCTTACAGCATGCTTGGCGCTATCTTCTCCTTCCATACTTGCTGAAGAAGGCTGTTTAGACTAAAGAGAGGTTCCTCCAACTGGGTCATTGTCAAAGAATGTTTATTCGTATTACAAATAAAGTGTAATTATTATATACACCTACACATTCCCTGTAGTGAAGATCCTATTTGTTTCTTTAACCTGCTTGTTTAAAGGACCCCACTGGAAATAAGTCATTCCTGAACTTTATGGGTTATTCTTGGTTTTGATGTGCATACTAGTTATTCAACTTTTATTACTCATATTATTTACCTTTTCTGATGTTTTTAGTGTAGCTGTTGTTGATAATGTTAATGTCTTATTTATATAGGCGTATAGATTTATTACAAATTTCTAAATGGAAGTAATATTTTGAGTAAATGATAATTACGTTAAAACCACATGTTTGTTTTTAAAGCTGAAAAAATCAAATCAGATGTGTGCAAGCCATTAATGGTCGCAATCCTTTTTCTGTTATTAAATTTTTACAAGCTTTTTTAGTTGATTTTATTGTTCTCTTTTTATTAGGTCTATTGTAATTCTTGAATGTGTGTTTTTTTTAAAACTGTATTTATGTTTTATACTGTATCTCAATGTTTATATTATATTTGAATTATGTATAGAATTGTGATATTGTATATTATTCGTTGTTGTCTTGTTGTTGTGAGGCGAGCCCTCACCATTAGATTAATTTTCTACTTTCAGGACAGCCTGCCACACAACAACTATTTTTATATAATATTTGACCAATCTCGATAATCTGGCTTAGTTTTTCTAGCAAGCATCATTCTTTTGGCTGTTTTATTTATACTATATCTACAAACTCATGTACATTATATGATGTAAAAATAGTAAAGAAAAATTACAAAATACATAAGAGATAAGTATGGTGGTAAGCTCGTATGTCTACTAACTCTCATGCATAGGAATTCAAAAGAGGGTTTTTTTCTGCAAGTTGCAAGTTGGAAAATGTAAGTTTGCCCGCTTTTTCCAACTCTCAACTTGCACTGAAGTAACACTCAATTCAAAAGAGGTCATTTGGAGAATATATATCAAAGTGATTATCAGCATATTGCTTATTAAGAGTAGTAATGTTCTATAAATCAATAAAAGAAACAGTATCATCATGTATCAATCAATACCTTGAATAGTACAAGTAAAAAATATTGGTGTTTTTATGTAATACCTGCTTCTATTTCTTTTGCATCTATATTTAATAATTCAAGGTAACAAAAAATGGTTTTTACAATTAAAAAATTGTAAACTGTAACTTAAAACGATAATTTTATTACAAGTTTTACTGTAAAAGCCTGTATTTAGGAACAATTTGATGTCATTGTTTCTGATCATTAAGAATCTAGATTGTTGAGCTGATCCCTAGCATCTTGGAGGGGGTAGTCAATACAATAAAATGAGTAGGGCTGTCTATGGGGTATAATTGATACCAAATGTTGACCATTGCACCACTCATTGCACCACTTTTTTTTTGTTATTGTCTGCAATGCAAGAAGAGATCCAATATTTAGACATGTGATGGATCAAAATACAATAAATTGTACCTTATATTTTTTATATCTTTATGAAACTGTTTATGAATGAAATGTATGGTTTATATATTATTTTTGTATGTTGTAATTTAATATTGATTTACTATTACTTACTTTAGCCAAGTAAACAGATTTTTAAGTCTCTCTAGTGAATTCTTTTAGAATGGTTTGAAGTATTTTTATTTAAGGATTTACCCCTAAAATCATCAATTGATCTTAAATAAACTAATGTGTAGCAATTAATATTAATAATATTAGTCAATATAGTTCTAAGCTAATTTATTTAATGATTTCCATTGCATTCTAAATGTAAATTATTGTTTTATCATAAATATCCTGAATTGTTCCGGTTAAAAAATAAACACGAATGCAATTTAAAATTTACTATTTCTTTTAATTTTGTTATAAAGTTAACTTAATATTTTTTGCAGGATGGTAAGGCAGCCATACACTTTGCTGCAGCTAGTGCTAAAGAAGATGTAATTAAATTACTAGTACAGAAGAAAGCTGATGCTACTACACCAGGAGGGGTACAGTATACCTATATTTGATATTATTTTCTCACACGTTTTTGAATAAAGTCCTAATTAGGACTTTATTTTCCTTTTTTTTTTTGTATAATTTAAATCTTGTTTTATGTTGGTCTCTGTTGATCAAAGTAGGTGGGTGTTGGCTGACTTTTCTGTTAAATTAAATTTATAAATTTAGGCAACTGGGCCAAGGATATCAGTGTAGCTGATGTGTATTGCAGTCTATGTTTATCTCTTTCTAGCACAATTCAGACACCATTCATTCATTCACTTATTCATTCATTTATTTATCCACTCACTTTATTCATTTATAAATTTATTTGTTTATATTATATATATATTCATCCATTTACCCATTTTACTTTCATTGAATTTAAAACTTTTCCATTCATTCATCTATTTATTTTATTTATTTATTCACTAATACACACATATTTATTTATTGATTATTGTATTCATTCATTCATATTATATATATATATATATATATATATATTTTTTTTTTTTTTTACTCTTCCATCTACTCTATCAGTATAATTATTTTTTCATTTATTCATTCATTCATTCATACAATAGTCATTCGTTCAATTCATTTTTTCGTTCATTCATTTATTCATTCTTCAATTCATTTATTCATTCCTTTATTTATATATTTATCCATTTATTTAATATTTTATTCATCCATTCTTTAATCTATTTGTAGTCATTGTTACTGTAGTAAGTGTTAATATTTGCAATTAAATTTTCTGTAGCCCAAGAAACAATTGCCATTGCATATTGCTGCTTTGAGGTCAACTGGTGGTGTAGGGGTCATTCAGTTGCTGCTCCGAGTGTCTGGGAAAGAAGCAAGACTGGCAAGAGACACAGTAAGATGTTATTTTATCACAGTTACTCAGCCATTATATGATGATTATCTGCCATTGGCATTACAATTACTTTATTGTAATGATGTGATATTGAGTTCACATAGTACTTAGCTATTAACTTTTAATAATTACTATGTATTATGACGGCCATCTCATAATATGCCGCATTGTTAAATTAACTGACACAGTGTATTAAGATATACAGTAAGCAATTATTAGATGAAGCTATTATAATCTTATAATTTATTGCTACTCTCATCTGTTGTGGTCAGAAGAGAGTTATCTGGCACCAATTTACCGGGTAACTCAGACAAGAATTGACCCTTTAAAATCGAGGATACTTTGGTATACTGTGCTATATAAATGTAACTACATCACGTTTTGCAATGTAAAAGTCAATCTTGCCAGCAACAAGAAATAGACATGAAGTTAAGTAGAAAACTCTTAGTCTTTTATAAAATATATTTTTCTGACAATCTTTAAGCAGTTTTCACTAGATCATGTGATTTATTTTTATTTTTTTGCAGGATGGTATCCTGCCAATTTTTCTAGCAATAGATGGTGGCAATACTGGAATTTGTAAAGAACTTTTACTGCATCATAAAGATGAGCAACTGAAAGCAAGGAGGGGAGAAAGTGGGGACACTCTACTTCATCTTGCTTGCAGAAAAAAAGATATGGACCTCATCAAGTTATTCATAGAGAATGGAGCTCATGTAGACACATTAAATGTATGTTCCATTGTACACCTTAGTTTGCATTATTAATGAAATACCTTATGATCAAAAGAGCGCATCTCTCGATGAATAAATATGCATGATTTTTTAATACGCACTGCACCAATATTTTATTTTTGCTAGACACCACAATACAGATATACTATTTTGAGTAGACGTTGCAGTGCTTAAATGAGACTGAGAGAATATATTACCCAATTGTATTAAAAGTAGTAGATGAATGTGAGTTGATTTTTTTTTCGCTCCCCTGTGCACTTGATTTTTACGACAGCTTATTACCTATAGTGAGTCTTAGCCTTGTTTTAGGCAATTTCCCATTATAAAAAGATACTAACAATGCAACAATCCAGATAGGACTACATGCAACAAATGTACCATTTTAAAGGTCAAGAAATATATATAAGTGCTGCTCACAAACAGGTCTGTCTTCTAAATGCCTACCATAGTGAAGAAAGAAAATGTTATAAGCACTGTAACGATTACTTACTGTGTCATGTAAATTTTTAAACAGTAAAGTTTAGGTAGTCTGCAATGAAAAAATTGAATATGCATCAGCAATGAAGTCATACATTTAGCTATGTTGGTGTTTATACTACCAAGTTTAATGTTCAAGTAATTTATCACTCAGTTGTGTATTAGGGCCTGTAAAATACCTTGAAAAAATGGCCTAATAGCCTATTGTAATTCCTGGAAGTATCCAGGTAGGTCTCATTAAAGAAATAATTGGTAAGGTTTGGGAATTATTTTCTTTTCCCAAAAAAAAAAATCAATCATGCAAGGGCAGCTACATTTGATTGTGGAAACCTTTCAAATTCAAATTTTATTAAAATGATAGCTGAATAAGAAATATGTATTGCTTCTCATGCAATTTTTGATCTGATATAAGAATAAAACTGTAAATGCAGAAGTTTCCCTAATTATGGTGGCCTTATTTGTAGTGTAAACAAAGAATTTCGGTCATGGTGAAACTAGTTTAAAACAGGTCAAAACTACTATAGATGTTTGTTGTCATAGTAACACACCTATTTATCCTTGAACATTCTAGGAGGACGGTCACACACCATTGCATCTTGCGGCTTCACTTGGCGATGAGCAGATTGTGAAATATTTCTATCAAATGAAGGCAAATCCCAATATTTATGACAAGGTAGTATTTTTTGGTTTTTGAATGTTTATTGCGATAATGTTTGAGCATTATTACAACACATTATTATCATTATATTGGTGCAACAGGTTTGTATTGATTGGTGCATTAAAAGTTATTTTCAGCATCGTCATCTTAATTAATTTGAGTATTTTGTTATTCTTCTGCTATGGTATTATTATTCATGATAATAGTGGTTGACATTTAATTGCACTTTCTATATCCAACCTCTCAAATGCCTTCACATTTTGCCCTGATTATAAGAAACCATAAAAAAGTCACATATAATGTGAAAACTCTCTTTCCCCCCTGGAGATTCCAATGTAGTACAATCAGATCCTATGTGGTACAGACACTTTAACTCTTCCAATTCAATCAGGAGTCTCACAAATTTTTCTGCAAACTTATCTTCTCCAGAATAAAAAAAAAATATATCAAAATTTAAACAAAATAAACTTTAAAAATACAAAAAAAAGAGTTCTGTGTCAAATTTTGATTGTGCTTTCTGAAAAAAAAAGACTAATGATATTAATACAGGCAGCCTACGCCAACAGTTCAATTCAAGTCAAGTATACATTTATTTTCTTCTTTGATAATTTTAAAGCACAGTTAGACTTTGAATAAAAGTTTTTGGTGTGGTACATCCTTTCTCCCATTTTCCGATTCTTTATACAACCAGAAGAACAAGTAATAGCAGTGGATATAATCACAAGGCAAAGAAATATGTCCAGTTATGGCTGGGCAAAATATAATGTTTTACATGGACTCATAAGAAGAATCTCCATAAGAAGAATAACATAAGAATAATCTTTCAGATGAAGACCTTCCACCTGGAGCTGACAATAACTGGGCCACATGGATGTGTCTTAATAGACTTAGAACTGGGGTAGGCCTTTCCAAAGTCATGTTACAGAAGTGGGGGATACTCCAACAACCCTGTCATTTGTGAATGTGGAACTGAGCCTCAGACCATGCAACACCTCCTGCAGTGCTATGTGTTAGATGAAGCCTGCACCACTACAGACCTTGCAAAATACAACAGAAAGGCAAAGGAGTGTGTCCAGCTGTGGCTGGGGCAAAATTTGAAGTACATGGACTTGATAAGAAGATAAGAAGAAGCTAATACATAGTAGTTATATAAACGAAGTTGAAATTAATTTTCCTTATAACAAAAATTTTTTGATATTTTATTCACCAGCTTGACAGATCACCTCTTCACATCGCTGCAGAACTGGGTCACACAGCAGTTGTGGAAATTCTTATAGATAAATTCAAAGCATCAGTGGCAGCCCGAACAAAAGATGGAAGTACGTTAATGCATATAGCATCACAGTGCGGCCATCCGGAGACCGCCCTCATGTTTCTAAAGAAAGGTGTGCCTCTTCATATGCCTAATAAGGTAATACAATCATCTATTATTATCTTTGTTATCATTATATTTTTTTTTTTTAATTGTAGACAGTGTTGGGTGGGGGACGAAAGGAGAACATGGTAGATGACAGATATTTAAAAACTGGGGAAAGGGGCATAACCACCCTTTTTTATACCTTTTCCCCAAGTTTTTAAGTATTCAAAAATCTGTATCTCATTAATTGTTTCTCAATTTTTTTGTCAAACACCCTTTGTTTTTTCTTAGAAAAATCAGTTGCAAAACATATCAAAAAAATGTTTTTCCTCCAGAGCCTGTCTTTACAAACCTTCTCTTGTGTGTAGAAAAGTTTAGGATGCAGATTGATATGCCGTTAGATAGATGATTCTTAACTACCATACACTGGGCCGTTCTCTACTGCGATCAAAAATGATTAAAAAATATTGTCTGAATATAAGGAAGTATTATATGTATTGAAAAAAACGGGAACGTGCAGAAACGCCAAATTAATTGGTGTTTGCACGACACAAAAAATGGTGTATATCAGTCAACTATAATACCTGGGGGCCATATTTGGCTTAATGGTGTTTGGGAGAAAAATTCAAGTTGAAAGCTTCAAGGCTAACTTCTCCATGAAGGCAACAAGTTAAACCGTTCAACTCAAGAGGAATAGTTAGGGGTTATATTCACCCCACTCCAAATTACAAGCTTGAGAGAATGAAACTGAACTGATCTTCACATGACCACCCACAAATATCATTTTTTTTTTTTGAGTTGATAATGGTTCAATAGAAACACATACACTGTTTATCGTATTAAAATGTACCTAGTTAAAACTATTTAGAAATGTTGATGATTTGTGTGTGTTAGTAAACATCAAACCTGTTAGATTCTTGACTGTTGCATAAAAACATTTAAAAAAAAATTGTTTGTATCAATAAAATATCTTTATAGTTCTGATCAAGAAAAATTAAGAATAATAATGTATCAGAAGAAATATGGAAGATTATTATAACACATATAATTGATTATTTTATTAACAATTTAGTATGTATTGGCAATTTTCAAGTTCATCCCTTATTTACCCTTTTGACTTAAACTCATTAATCGTGCCCAGTGGAATGCCACCAAAAACACCTTTCAAGTTTGATGGCTAACATTGCTGATTTTGGGGTACTAAATTTTGGCCCACTTCGGTGGGTGGAATCACAAGTTATAACTTTGTAGAAAAAGAGGGACTTGGAAGGTTACATGAAGCTTGATACAGTATTAGTTTTAGTTAACTGTCTTCATCAAGACAATTTGCAATTTTAAGACTCCAATAAATTTGAGACAAACTTTTCTCCTCCTTGGAGTTCACCAGAGAATTTGTAGCATGCTTTGTAGCAATTAAAATCATTATTTATTTTTTTACAATAACCTAAATTGAATTTGTTGAACTGTAATTATACTATTTTGTGTGTAAAATGCGGGAAAGACTGATTCCACAGATGTGTACTTGAGAATAAATTTAAATTAAATCCATCTTCTTTTATGTAGGAAACCTGGTTAGTACAAGTCTAAAGGTTTTTCCACAGGGCCCCATATGTATACTAATAATGAGTCTTAGGGTACGTTCACACACATAACATAGGTTGGCATTTAACATACGCCTTTGTGTGTGAACTAGGCAGTGGCATTATTAACGCCACCCACAATACCACCTCTGTGGCATTATTAACGCTACCAGCAGACCCCAGATTAGTTAACGCCACGGAGTACATTATTTAAAACATACTATTCCCCCCATAGGTCTATATTACTATTACTAGTTTAACGCTAGCGTTAATATAGTGAACGTTGTTCGTCTGAACACTTTAGAGTTTTAATCAGTGGATTTAGCGTACGCATAAGCTACGCCAGCCTTACGCTGTGTGTAAAAATACCCTTAGAGAATGGAGTTTTTATTTAGTCGGTGAGAAAAAAAAATACTTGCTGTCACAGGAATTGAACGCAGGGTCTTGGGATTGCCACTGTAGGCAAGCATCTTTAGGACCAAGCTATTCAACTCCACTCGATAAGCATGTGATTATAATAGTCATGACTTATTTATTACTAGTGGGATCGAAAAGTTCCAAATTAACACCCTTGTGCTTTAGTGGGTTAAAGTTGATTTTTGTTCAAGTATTCGGTTTCTCTGTTGTTCCCACTATTGTACTGTTTAGTTGGCTAAAGATTAAATAACTGTAAATCAAATAAATTTATAATACCTACTGTACCTGATAAGTCCTTAAAATATAATGTGTGTTATCCTTTTTACGACACAGACACTGTTGCCGTCCTCTTTATTCTTTTTATTATTATGACCATTAAAAATAATATTATTATTATTATTATTATTATTTTTCATAGAAATAATAAACGGGACTAAATTAGGATAGGTCAATTCAAAAGGGTTTCGATACCAATATTCAAACATTACTAACTCAGGGAAATGGGTTTGTAAATGTTTGTAGGAGGTTTTTTGTGTGTGGGTGTGTAGGAACCCTTGTCAATTTCTGGGATATGTGGGACCCCAGATAATAGGTCAACATATAGGCTATAACGCAAATATATGATGTTTTTAAGGGCACATAGAAGAAACTGTTAGATTATCACTCCTGCCCACGTCAAAAATTTGGAAATATATATTTTGCCGCATCATTCATTTCAACAGCTTAAAAAAACAATGCAATTTCATGACTGGAAATACATTTTCTTCAAAAAACAATAAAATTAATTTAGTTTGTTATACAGTATTTGCAACATTCTTGCCAAATAAAAACGGTCCCTCCCTTAATTTATCAATAAAAAAAAAAAAACAATATTCTGTTATTCCAATTAAAAACAAAAACAAAACAAAACAAAAGCCCTCATCACTTTTGGGGAAAAAAAGAGTGATAATCTAATAATTTTTTCTATGTGCCCTAAGCTAGTTTGACATGCAACAGAACAGATGAAAGACAACAAAATGTATCTTGAACAAAGTTTACTTTTTCAAAGATATTTGTAAAATAAAAGTTCATTAGATAAAATTATTATCAACTTGATGGTCTCTCTCCAATTCTGTGGGAAATCGGTTTGTAAATGTTTGTAGTAGGTTTTGTGTGTGTGGGTGTACAAGGAACCTTGTCGATTTCTGGGATACTTGGGGCCCAGATTATAAGTGAACATATAGGCTATAATGTAAATATATGAGACTTTTAAGCTAGTTTGACATGCAACAAAACAGATGAAAGACTAATAAAAGGAAGTGCCTAATACAAAATATTTTTTTATGTTTCTTTAATTTTACAAATTGGATGTTTTACAGGAACATTTGAACAATACTTATTCAGTTCAGTTTCTCTTTATTGCAACAATATATATAAGTTAATGTACAATAAAAATATATTACAATGTACATACTGTACATAAAAACAACTTTGCAATGAATTAATACAATAGTAGTACAAGACTTTACATAGCAATAAATCATTAAAAGGATGCTCTACTTTAAATTGTAATGCAATGGAAAGATTAAATGAATAATAAAAAGTTGAATAAACTGTTACTTTTTGATTATTATTATTATACACCAAAAGTATCTTGAAGAAAGTTTACTTTTTCAAAGATATCTGTAAACTATAAGTTTTAAATTGGATGTTTTACAGGAATACTTGAACGATATTGATTCATTTTGAATTCTCTTTATTGCAACTATATATAAAAGTTAAATGTACAATAAAAAATAGACTACAAAGTACATACTGTACGTAAAAACAACTTTACAATGAATTAATACAATAAACAGTACGAGACTTTACATAGTATTAGAACATTAAATGGATAATCTACTTTAAATTGTGAGGCAATGAGAAAGATTAAATGAATAATAAAAAGTTGAATAAACTGTTACTTTTTGATTATTATTATTATTATGCAACAAAAGTATCTTGAAAAAAAGTTTACTTTTTCAAAGATATCTGTAAACTATAAGTTTATTAGATAAAATTATCATCAACTTACAGGTCTCCCTCCAATGAAAAACCACTCTAATTTAGGACCATCTCCAATTAAAGACCATTATTCTATGGTCCCAAATTAACAAATTTCCTTTACCTTTATTATTCTATTGAGAGACCAAAGCTGCTAAAGACCATGGGAACATTTGGTCCCAAAAATGGTTTTTAATTGGAGGGAGACCTATATTTCTAAATGACTGATAACACTATAGGATCCCCTATTTAGGGTAGACACCACCTCCCCCCTATTATGGAGACACTTTTTTGATCCAAAGAGGGTTCTACTATACCAAAAATTCTGTTTAAACTGAACAATTTAAATGTTTTTTTTTCCTCCCCCAGTCTGGTGCTGTTTGTCTGCATGCAGCTGCCAAGAGAGGCCACACGGCTGTAGTGAAGTCACTTCTACAAAAAGGTGCAATGGTCGATGCCAGAACTAAGGTAGCCCCAGTTTATCTCTGTTCGCTTATTGACAAACATGTTTCTTCCCGTTTTACTCGTTCTTCTCAATCCCTCAAACTTGTTACTCCACGAGTCAAGCATATTCGTACCGGTCAACGCTCTTTTTCTTTCTCTGCTCCTAAACTCTGGAACTCTCTGCCTCCTCAATTACGTATCATTTCTGATCCGCAATTATTCAAATCTACTCTTAAATCCTTCCTTTTCAAATAGTTCAACTTCTTTCTAATATCCTCCAGCGCCGGTGACAAGCCAGTTTTGTTTGCTTTAATAGGCGCTTTAAAAATGTGTATTATTATTATTATTATTCCTAAGCCCCTGTTCACACTATTAAATTTGATTTGAGTAAAACATGTGACATGCCTATATATTGTCATGATGACATCACAGAAATCAATTCACTGTTATTTAATATATTTTATTGTCATTTTTGTTGTAATCATCATTGTCATTATTTATTTATATTGTTGTAAAGTACTCCTGAAGCCTGTCTTACCAAAATTATAGTATTCATTTATTTCTTCATTTTATTTTTATATTTAATATTAGATCATCGATTTGATGAGTACTTGTTGGATTATGAATGCACAATAATATTTTTATTCATGTGTACAATAAGCAAGATTGTGGATTGTTTCTCCTGTTAAATTTTTTTCCAACCATCTTTAATGTGAGAAAATCATCTGTGCTTTCCATTTTAGTAACCATAGTGACACTTTAATGTAAATGAACACAAACGAAGGCTTAGTGCACTAATTAAGCTAGTATTAATGATTATCAATTTGTCCTTCATGATAAATTGTCTGCATTCCGACATTATAACAATCACTATCCCCTTTTGTTGCTAAGCGTGCAAGTTCAATCCTATCATTACCGTAAATAACTCAGCTAATGTTGAAGAATACATTATCCACATAATTTCATTATATGCTCACTAATTCCAAGATGTAACTTTTATTATTAGAACAGTACTGATAATATCACCGTGTCTAAAACCATTATATGAATACCGATCAATATTGTAGGCAGTTTTGTGTGTAATGACTGGAAAATTGGCATTGTTTATTGCATGGAAGTATAACATGACATATATATTTTATATATAGCATTATTGTTTTTATATTTTGTCATTTGTGTGCATATGATATTTTGAAATAGAATTATAAGCTAAAAACTCTTAAATTCAATATAAAAAGAAATTGGAGACTTGTTTTTTTTTTCTCTTTCCCCAATTTTTCTTAGTTATTACATTTTACAAAAAACAATTTCTTTTAAAAGATTGCAACAAAATATTAATACAAATGAGCTGCTGATAGCATGCAAGCTTATTTCATCTAACCCCTAAAACTTAATATAGATATTTCTAGGATGGCAAAAACCTCAAATATACATTTTATTATACTGTTGGTTAGATTACCCCTGTTTTTTTTTTATTCCTATGTTTCCCTGAATGGTAGGATTTCTGGCCACTGTCATACTATTTATTTGCTTTATATTTTGTTTTCTACTGTTACTGTGTTTACCCAAATAAATGTATAGACAGTATGAAAAATAAAAAAAAAAAAAAAAAAAATGAAATTGTTTTCTTTTTTTCTTTTGCAAATATTCCAGTGATAATAATCTGATCAAAAAAATTTCATTTTGTTGTGTCCAGTATTTGATTTCATCCACAGCTGTTTTTTTAATTAAAAAACATAATGTTTTGTTTTTCCTTAACATACCTATTCTGTACTTTATATTTAACTATTGTTCATTATAAAAATCACTTGAATTGTTTTCCTACTATGAAAAATTATAGTGAATCATAAATGTTTTAACAACAGGAGAATTACACAGCCCTCCATGTGGCGGTACAACATTGTAAACCACTTGTTGTACAAACGCTGCTAGGCTATGGTGCACAAGTACAGCTTCAAGGTGGCACAGCGATGGAAACGCCGTTACACATTGCAGCGAGAATCAAAGAGGGAGAGAAAGTTGCAGAAATGTTGCTCAAAAGTGGTGCTGATGTTAATGCTGTGATGGCGGTAAGAATTTATTTCGATAGTCTCCTCTATGTGTCTAAAATGTGTAGTCTACATCAACAGGAAAATGTTACCCTTGAGTTTCTGGTTTGATTCTGCTGGTGCTCTGTAGCTCTTTTCAGATGTAGCGCTAAACTGCAAGATACTGTAGTGCATGCCATATTTGGAAGAGATGTTTAGCTGTATTAACTTATGAACACTTATCTCCAAGTGCTTAGACCAACATGGGAACTCGTCTTATCCACCAACCACTCATTGGTCGACTCTTGATCAAATCAGTCTTGGGCTCCAAGCTACGACAGTAAGCCATTGGTGATAGCAGGCACTATGGTGGACAATGGAAAAAGTAGCAGTAGAAATACAATTTGTATTCCTTTATTGAAATCACAATTAGATTTAATCTGTATCCATATTGTAATAATAATGCTAGACTTGTATAGCGTATATTGTTAAGCCTTCTATGCATTTCATATGGTCATTAACCCGGTCATTGCAGTGCTCGATTTTTTACCAACTCTGCGTACAATGGCTAGTAACTGCTCCGGGCTAGTCAACCTCCCTTCCTTTTTGCCCAGTGGGCTAGTAAACAAGGCCTACAGTACCACCGGAAACTATTGCTAGAGATAAAGATCATGTGATCTTTATCTGTTTCCCACCTCGAGGTTGGGAAACCTAACCGTTCCTGCTGCACCAAACCACTTCCATTGTAGGTTATTATTACATAAAAAATATTATTTTTTGCAGAATGGTGAAACAGCTATGCATATTGCAGCTAGGTTTGGTCAACTAAAAATGATCCAAGCTCTATTGGAAGAGGGGGCAGATCCAATCTACCAATCCAAAGTAAATATAGTATATTATGTTGATGATATTATCTAATGTATATTAACCTTTTTAATGCTAGGCTAGTCATGATTAATTACATCCTTTTTTTATTACACTTGTAAATCATACATACATAAAAATTTTAGTGACATGAAATCAATTGGGTATCAATCAGCGAGTAGAAAAAAAATCCCATAATGTGATGTTTTATAACTTTACCTTCTATGATGGTATTTTATGCAGTCTAACAGGGGCCGACTGTTCCATTATTTTTGAGAGGGTATTTGTTTCATTTATAGCACAGATCCTATATACAATAGGCAACACTGTATTTTCCTAGATAAGGCAATTCAACAGAAGGATGCACATCTCGGGACATCAAAGTTTATAACTCTGGCATCGACATTCTAGGCGCATGTGTGCGTCCCTACACGCTGATCGTCACAAAAACCATAACAACCAGACCATAAACCGTCAGCGTACGTGACGAATTACACATGCGCGTGCTAGTTGCCATGATAATCGCGCGTCGTGCGCGTCACAAAGGCCTATTGATATTTTGCACTAACTTTAGACTGAAAATATATTCTTCATTTCAACATTAATTTTACCAAAATTGTGGTGAATTATCGTTCATGAGAAAAAAAATTGTCGTTCACAGAAAAAATTAATAAAGGTTCCGTATATACTCAAATGTTCGTTCTCGGCACCTTATGCCAACATTGTCAAAATGACAGATTAATGTTACATAACAACATGAAATTTTATATAATTCATAAATTTTAAATTGCTATAACATTCCATTTTCTTGGTCAATTTTCACAAATCAAATTGCAGTTTATAGAAGCATTTAACAAGCTCGCGGTAAAAAAAAATCAGATGTAACAGACATTGCGAAGTACCCAAAATTAATAAAATAAAAACTAACACCATAAAACGAATGGCACGCATAGACTAATAATTGACGGCTGTACTCGCAACTAGTATCGGATTGTCGATGCCACAGTAAAGATCAAAGGACTGTACGCACATGCTATGTTCGAGAGCGGAGATGTGCGTCCTTCTGTTGAATTACCTTGTGCGTACTAATTGATTTTCCTGGAGCATACTATTTAGCCAGCGGGCATTTTAAGGATATGACCTTCGTACACTCAGGTGTGAAGCTACATTTTGTCAGTGGGCTTGAGTGGATAGGCCTAGCTATTTACACAGATCCTGACAATTCTAATATTCATTATATAAATTATTTATCGTACCTGATCATGTACAAATTGTTTATATATCCCTCTGTTCAAGACAGTAGGCCATTACCAGTTCCAAGGTGCCGACTAAATCTAAGGCCTAGGTCTAACTACAGCAGAGTGGTATAACCCGAAAAAAAAAACATCTTAACGTTGATTTTCATGTTATTACGGCATTGCAATGTGGTTCACTTCTGATGAGTAAGCATCGAGAATACACCCCATAATTTGGTTACAATTTACGTGATTTAATTCGTAATGCCTTGAAATTGATACCACTTAATGGCTTTAACAGCTACCGACACAGTGGGGAAGCAACTATTTTAAAAAGAACGAAATAAAGAGGATAATAGGTAGGCATGTATATTTTCCCCCGATTTTTTACCATTCTCAATGATAGGGGGCGTCCTCTAAAAGCTTCGAACACTGCCTGCAATTATCCAATTAGTGAAGTATGTAGTGTTGGAGGGATAGGATCGTAGCGACTAGTGGACATCGTTCCTATCCCTTTGCATATAGGATCTGTGTTCATAGGAAGGCAAGACTTTTTTATACCTTATAAATTAGTCACCCACTAATAATGATGATTTCAAATTTTATTTTTGGCCAATTAGCACACCTGATGCCATGAAATTTCAGAAAAAAATAAAACATTTTCCTTATTTTTATTACCATTGCTGCCTTGAAATCTCCAAAAACAAGATATGTATATTTCTTACTAATTATATAAACTTAAAACAGTTAACGATCCCAATACTACACTGTTTACTGTATAATTTCATTTTTATTTGCTCCTCCATCTGGATGTTTTTGGCAAACAACTATATTTGCTAAAATAAGAAAACAAAATTTTTTTCTACTTTTATTCCACCCTCCTAAGGCGATCTTTTAAAAAATAGGTTAGCGTAACAAGGTATGAACAAAATCTCGCCTAATTGCCCATGTAGTTAATTAGTTTATCCTGGTAAGTATCACAAACATAGACTAAACAACATTACTAGTAGCTTGTTTAATCAACTGAGAAGTGGTCTTTTTTCAAATCACTAGGCAGCATTTATGTGGTTGTTTATTTGACTTTGTGGTTGTCAGGTAGATGATGGGTAGATGATGTTGAATTGGAATGGTAGCTGTTACTAAAAAACGTGGAGCCACTCCAGAGTGATCATTCCACTTATCATTGCATGAGAAGGAAACAATAATATAACATTGTTTAATAAAATTTAATATGTTATATATTAATAATTTCCCAAAGTTTTTTTTTTTGTTTTTTTTTTTGTTTTTTTTTTATGATTTTTATGAAATTGTTGTTATATATTAATAATTTCCCAAAGTTTTTTTTTTTGTTTTTTTTTTTGTTTTTTTTTTATGATTTTTATGAAATTGTTGTTTGTACAATTCTTTCAAAATTGTTATATTATAGGCCTATGCCTACAGGGAATGAGATTTTAGCCTTTGTGTTTGACTTCTTACCGTATATACTCACGTATAAAGTGACCTGCTTATAAGATGACCCCGAGTTTGGGAAGGTTTTTGGACAATTTTTGTATGTCTTGTCAGGTGTATAAGACAATCCCCTTTTCACAGTAAGAATTTATACTTTCTGCAGCTATTTATGGTCTTGATACTTCTAAAAACGGAGCCAGGTGTAGGACCACCTCCAATTAAAGACCACTATTTTGTGGTCCCAAATTAACAAGTTCCTTTTATCTTTATTATTCTAATGAGACCAATTCCAAAAACCATGGAAACCCCGGTCCTAAAAATGATCTTTAATTGGAGGGAGACCTGTAATAATGTTTTATGGGCTTTCAAATGTTAATCAGAATCTTATTTCTTAGTATTTAAAATTGTGTTTATTCATACTAACATTTAATAGGTTCATTGCAGTAATAAATTTGCATGATGTGTTTCGGACATAAGACGAACATTTCAAAAGTCAAATATTTGTTGGTCGTGTGTATAAAACAACCCCCTGTTTTCCGATCATAATTTTAAGCCTTCTCTTATACGTGAGTATATACTGTAGTATTTTTACATGTTTGACGTTTGCATTCTTATACCATTGCCATGTTGTATAAAATATTCTGATTTACTTCTACCTAATGTTGCTTAGGTAGGACCATTAGAAATAGTGAATAAGGTAAAGTAATAAATTAAACATTTTATCTTTTTACCAACCTGTCCACATTATCAAATGCTATAAATGGATTTAGCATGTTATTTTTTATGGTTACCTATATACTAATTGTATACTGTATGTGTGCATTGCATTTTACCTTCTATAACAATTTATGTATGAATGCTTTTGCGTTTGAGGATATATGTATTACAGTACTACGCTTGAGTTTTTGAAGGAAGAGCTCTGCACATGTTTAGGCATAAGCACCTAAATAAGTGTTTAAATGAATGAATTTGAGTGTGAATGAGTGAGAGATAGAACAAATGTGATTTTGAATGAGGTGAGCATGAATGAGTGCGAGATTGAATGAGTGAGAGTTTGGATGAGTTTGTGAATGAAAGGCTCACATGTTTAGGCATGAGCACCTGAATAAGTGTAGATAAATGAGTCTGAGTATGAGTATGTGTGAAAAGAGTGTGAGCATGAATGAGTGTGAGTATGAATGAGTGTGAGAATGAATGAATGAGCCAGTGCAGGTACTGTATGATGAGCATGATCGTGAGTGGGTGTGAGTATGAATGAGTGTGAGAATGAATGAATGAATGAGCCAGTGCAGGTATGAATGAGCATGAGCGCGAATGGGTGTGAGTATGAATGAGTGTGAGAATGAATGAATGAGCCAGTGCAGGTATGAATGAGTATGAGTGAGTGTGAGTATAAATTAGTGCGAGTATGAATTAGTGTATTTGTGAATGATCGCATGAATGAGTGAAGGTGTGCATGAGCGATTAAAATGAATTTGTGCGTAAATAAGTTTTACATGAATATGCATGAGTACAAGAAGTGTTTAAATGAATAAGTATAGTGTGAATGAATGAGCATGGACATGAATGGGTGTTTGTGTGAATTGGTGTGAACATGAATAAGTGAGGGTTTCCATGAGAGTGATTGTAAATGAGTGTGATTAAGTAATTTATGAATAAGTAATTCTGCACATAAATGTGTATGAGCACATGAGTGTGTAGATGAATGAGTATGAGCATGTTTGAATGTACTTGTGAATAGGACTGAAGGCCAACTCAGACAGCGTTGACCGACGCAGCCCGACCCGATTTATCGTCGGGGACAGTCTTGAGCAGTCGGGAGAAATATTAAACATGTTTAATATTCTACGACGCGAATGCCCACGATGCACACCATCGCGTCTGCATTTAACTCACACAGACCCAACGCGACAACAAATCCCGTCGGGCAGCGTCGTACTACGCTGTCTGAGTTGGCCTTAAGTGTGTATATATGCTACATGATTGTCTGAGCGTGAATAAGTGTGTGCTGGTTTAAGTCTGAATAAATATGTGAGTATGAATAAATGCGATGTGAGTGAGTGTGTGTGAATAAAGAATGTGTGGGAGAATGTCTGTATATGTCAATGAGTATTGATATGTCTGAGGGGCAGAGTGTAAGTATTTTTTGCTTAAGCATGTTGCAGTTCCTTTGTGGTCCTGATATTATGATTCTAAGCTTACATTGTTACTATTAAATATTATACTTTATGTACTATTAAATATTATATTTTTGTTGCTTATATCATTATTTATTTGAATGGAAATGTGTATTGGTACATGAAATCCAAACCAAGTGTAAACACGTATTGACTTGCATGTTGGTACTTATAATTTTATTTAATTTTATAGTACAGTTACTAAAAGGTAATGATAACCCCAGGGGTCGCATGTCACAGGAGACTCCCGGAAATCGAGATGGTCTCCTGATGATGACATAATTAATGTTGAAATATTGAATCCCGACACGATGGCGTGCATTTCGATACTTGGAGTATGAATTATACTATCTTATCTGAGATTAATCAGTGGACCTTCGATCTCCCGCACTCCCGTAACTAGACAAGAATCTCTTGGAATATAACCCATCTCCTGTAAATTCATTAAATCTGCATTTTTTTTCTATGTATTACTGATTTATTATCATTTGTCCCACAGAAGTCAGTGTTGATTGGTACCAACAAGGGCTGCATCACAAAATTAGATGTGCTATAAAAGCTCGTTTAAACATATCTCCCGAAAATGACTTCTTTCAACTTTGAACCCCTGACTAAACATTGCCACAATGCTCAAGTTTTGATGAATATTTGAAATACACAATGATTCTGATTGTGTCACAATGTTGCATTACCATAAACACAAGTTTCATAGCATAAGAGGACTACCAAAAGGTTTCCCTTTCAGAAAGTTTCAAAGCTTAAATATTCAGTGTTGATCTAAATCTAAAAATATATTTTGTTTATTATTTGCTTACTTTTTATATTGTTTTTAAAGTTCTTACCTTTTAATTTAAAATTCCAACAGGAATATATTTTCCTCACTAATTGAAAAATGTCTAAATAATACTGTTCTATATTTTTTGTTTAAGGTAAAGGTACTGTAGCCTCATATTTATTATTGAACATAGGGGAATGAGCTGTTAGCCCATCGTACTGAGCCTTGGTGTTGTTTGGTAGGGTGGTCAGTTCCTTTCCACGCCGCCTTTTTCCTCCCCATTAGTGAACCACCGTGTACCCACTTATAATCCTGGGTGGAAAGAAACAAACATAGGTAAAATGTTGTTCAAGAAGACAAACCAAATGCATTTTCGAACCCCCGACCTCAAGGATGGATGAGAGACCAACATGCAACCACTGCGCCAAACGCTCCCACATTCTTTGCCTAGACACATAAATTGGCTGGTTTTTGTTTGTTTGTTTGTTTTTTTTTTGTTTTTTTTTTGTTTTTTTTTGTAGTATATGTCTGTAAATTAGGAAAATGAGATTATTTAGATTATGTTTCTCATGGAAATTTGATAAATTATTTGAGGGATTCTTAACACATTTGCTGCTACCGACGCGTATACTCGTCCCACAAGTTGTTGCTAAGGGCGCTAGGGATGATTATGCTCGTCAGAACCATCGTAACCTTCTAGCATTTATTACTTCATTGTTACACATTGTAGAACCATTGCCTTAACGGCTGGTATTTTGGGGAAGATACATCTAGACAATAACGTGCAAATAACGTATGTATGTTTGTGTCATGCAATATACCAACCCATGCAAAAAACGAGAAAACTTGCATTTCTCAGCAATACTGCCAGTGACTCATTTCCTAATATTTTCTTGCCAGTTTATTAGACACACCATTTTGGTGATATGTTATTTGGTAAAGTTTTTAAAATAGTGTGTTTGTACATTTATATTTGTTTTGGCAAGGATTTCATTATGTCAGATAAACCACAGATAATATATGTTAAATTGAGCTTACAAACTTGGCATTCATTGGCAATATTAATAAAATTGGTCTGAAGAAACTATAAACAACTTATTACAACATAAAGCTTATTACTAAATAATTGGATAACCTCCGTAGATACACTGTATCGGCAGACACATGTCTGAGATAATTGAACGCTTCATTTGAAGATAATGAAATTTCATCATGCCTTAATTTCATGGTCCTTTATGCTTCTATTGATTTGTCCTCCAAGGTTTGCATCAGTTGGAACACGTAAATTTGGTTTACGATTATTGATCCGATTCTTTCAGCCATTAAAAAGAAACCCAAACCGTATTCGTTATTTGGAGACAACGGCTATAGACTTCAAAGTGTTATTAATACAAATTCACGTCTTAAAACCATGCCGACTGGGAAGCAGTCTCACAAAAGATAATCGTTCTTGTAATGATTTTTCATTTGTAGTTTTTTTCATAAAACTTGCTTTATGCGTGTAACAGTTTTTGCAGGACAATAATTACCTTCCTTGGATATTAGTTCAAAATGATTATGATTAATAATAATGGCACATATTGTATTTAAATATATAAGTAAAAAACTTCTCCGCTACATTATTATTTGTATTCAGTAATGACAAATCATATTAGCTTCATGTTGTTGTCATTATTAATGCACTTATTTTTTTAAAGTGCTATTGAAGTACTAATTGTAGTTAATAGATAGGAATTATTTTTTCCATTCTTTGTAGTTTTTAAATGTAGCAAATAAAGAATCCTTCAATCAATCGTTAAATTTTTGTGGTTCCATTCTAAGGGTTAGTGCACGTCGTGCTTCTACCTTACGGATGTGGTAACTACTATAAGTATGGTAGGAGAGAGGATATTAGTTTAAGAAGTAGGTTAGTGCATACGGTATCCGGAAAAGTAGGTCTCAGGTACTGAATCAAGAGTAAATATGCATCCTCAGAGAGAGATGTAAGACACAACTCTCAATTGATTATATTGATGTCTTAAATAGTATAAAAAGAAAAAAAACCCTATATTTTTTGTCCTAATATATAAAAAAATTCTATAAATATTTATAAATAGATTTATATTTAATAGCTTATGAAGCCAGTCCAGATTATCATATTTAATTTCACAAAAACATTTGACACGCCTAAATATCGTCATGTTGACATCACATCATGACCATATATAGGCACATCATCACTGGGCATACAACAGTTTTTGTCAAAGAATATTTGAGTTATTCGACAGAAGTTAAGCATATATGTATAGCATCACAATAAAATAAAGCGAGTTAAAGCCTTAGAACTGGGAATCAGCATGATTGAAGGTTGGCAAAACGTGAAGACATATTAATATTACACCAAATGTGTGAATGCCGGCGATTGCATTGTTGGTTTTGTTTAGAATGCAGCATCTGGAAAGAAGTTACTTGTCACGCACTAATAAAGTAAGCACGGTTTGACCACAGTCCAGAGAATGTTTACAAAGCCATGTCAATCACAATTATGATGTTGAGTGGGTTTGAATTTATGAAGTTAATGAAGATGATCTTAAAACTGATCTTTCTGAGACACAAAAGTCATATTTGACGAAAAACTTGGAAGCGGTTAATGAGATACAGATTTTTAAATATTTAAATACTTGGGAGGAAAAAGGCGGTAACCACCCTTTCCTCCATCATTTTCCCCCAGTTTTTAAAAATTCAAAAATCTGTATCGTTAAATTCTAATGAGTTTTCTCTTGAATATGCATTTGTGAAATTCAGTTGTACCATTATCAACATTTATTTTCCTCTGTAGCCTAGCTTTAAAACTGTTTGCACACAGTGCTAAATTTCCAGGATTGAATCTCATTCTGCGATTGAATTGACTCATGCAGATATAGATAGGCCGCAGACATATTGTGAAGGGCATTTTTGAAGATATCTAATCATTGTTATCTGAAATAACACTCACTGTTAAGGTTTCCATGACAAATATCTGTGATTTTCCAATATTTTGACATGATGTTGTCATATCACACCCATATATGGCCAACACTTTTTTTTCATAAAATTTGGTGGTGTGGACTGAGCTAAGAATGATAAATGATACTGATACAACTTTTACATTGAAAGGTCTAGGAGTGCCATTTCCGGCCATTGCAGAGGGTCCTTTTTTTTTAAATCTCGTAACGGAGGGGGAACACTCCCAAACCCTTCCCCAGCTCAGTCAGAAGGCCCTCGGATTGCAATACTCATCAAAGTTATCCTTATCTCACTCAGTCCCCATCTCCCTCCCCCTGTCTGGGAGTGCCATTTCTGGCCATGCAGAGGTCCCTATTTTTTTGTTTGTATCTCATTACGGAGGGGGATACCCTCACACAACCCCTCCCCATGCTCAGTCAGAAGGCCCTCGGATTGCAATGTGCACCAAAGTTATCCTTATCTCACTCAGCCCCAGCTTAGCCACTGCTTATGTGCTCTTTATTATAACAAACTTTAATCAGTGTTAATGCTTTATTGAGTTTTAATTTGAGTGTAAACAGAGCTTAAGCAGTATAAAATGATGCAGATGCTATGCAGTGAATCTGAAGAGGTGACTGGGGCAGACTTGATTTTGTTGTTATAAGAAACTAACTAAACCAATGTTAATGCTTTATTGAGTTTGTTTTACTGTATTAAGATTTTGTTATTGGTTTCCTCACCTGAAATATTAACAGTTTTGTTCTTGTTTGATGCTTGTTTCTTTATCATGTTTAATTCAATGAATGTATGGTAATTATCATACTTTTTAAGCAGAAAAGAAGAGAGTGATAAACTAGGATTCGTAATGTGCAAAACCCTTAGCCTACCTGACCATAGTGGCTTTGTGGTAATTTTGAATCTGATTGGATGAAGTTTTTTCACTCTCTTGGGTGTGGGAACAGCACTAGTTCTAAACACACATGTATCAGAGATCATTGTGATATTCCCTCATCTTAACCATTTGAAACAACCAAACAGGATCTCTGGAAAAGTACAATACGTTTAAATAATGATGTATATGTAAAGAGTAATCTCTAAAAATATCATGCGATAATGATCAACACGAATCGACTTGAAATATATATCATTAAGATGGCGGGCATCTTATTGATTCTGTTCCAAGAGCGTGTATCAAATTTTAATTATTACAACACATGTTCAATTATTAACGTTACTATGGATTAAACTCTCTATAAATGATTAAATTAATTCTAAATAATAGCAATATCTCTATTGATGAGCATGCATGATATTAATATTGTAATAATTTAGAGTATTGTACTTTTTTTCTCATTACATTCGTAGTACGTGTCTTATCTAGTTCATTCATGGATTTTTAATTTTTATTTTTTTCCAAGAACGGTGAAAATCCCCTTCATATAGCTGTACGCCATTGTCACTATGTTATTGTTAAGGAGTTGCTGACTTTTCTACGCATAGAAAACAATCGTGCTGATGCCGTCATGGTAGTCAATACGCAAAGTAATGTAAGTTGTTAAAACAATGGACATTGTAAAAATCAATCAACTATTTTGGGGAGCACACCAATGGTTAGTTGGTTAATATTATTATTATTATTATTATTATTATTATTATTATTATTAAAACTTTATTTTAACTATTTTGGGGAGCACGCCAATGGTTAGTTGGTTAATATTATTATTATTATTATTATTAAAACTTTATTTTTACACGGAAGGCTTGTCTCACCCAGAAGGTGTTATTCTACAAGGTCGTGTTGTCATTGAAATTGGAAAATAACAGTATAAAAAATACTAACACATAATATCACAAAAAATATAAAATTATATACAAATACGAGATAAAAAAAAAAATGAAGCATAAACCAAAAATTTTACAAAAGTGTTTTAAATATTTTAACATTATGATGCCTACCTTCCAGTTTCATAATTTTTTGTTGGATCTTGGCAAAAATGTTTTTTTTTTGTTTGTTTGTTTTTTTTTTTTGCGCAAATTAAAATTAGCACCACTTTTTTTATACCTTGTTTAGCAAACTTTTAACTTTAAAACGATTTTCAGAAAAGGGTAAAAGAATAATTATTTCTTCATTTAGCAAAAAAAAATGATGAAAACATTTTATTGACACATAAAATATTCTGAGTGTGAAAACAAGTAATAAATAGCACCTATAAGTTCTTGCTCAAGGTCCTGTCCTATGGTTATATAAATATTGCACATGTTGCAATGTAAACATTCCAGTAATAGCATTGATAAAATAATGCTTTACAATAAAATTTTAGGAAGAAATTGTTATTGGCCATTGTTGAATTCACAATACTGCTATATATCCATGACCATGTATATTGACTTTATTTCAATTCTTAATGTCAACTGTGTTTTTTTTTTTTTTCAGGAAGGGGAAACCCCATTACATTATGCTGCAGAGATCACCAAGGAGATGGCCCACTACAATGGAGAAGATGTTGACATAGTTAAGATTCTGCTAGAATATGAAGCTGACACTTATGTGTCCACTAAATTGGTATCTATTTTTTACCTCATTTTAAGAGTAACAAAAAAAAAAAATGATTTAATTAGAATGTCAGTTTGCATACTAAGCCGGTATACCAAATTATACATGCAAGGCGTTTATGAGTGAGACAGGTGATTCCGATGGTTTAGTTTCAAGGAAAATTTCTGTGACATTTACCTTTCCTTTTGGCCTTTTCATCCCATAATTTAATCACCTTCTTTAGATCCATTCCATTAAATTTTATGGTAATACATTCATTATGTTTTGTGGTAATCCTGCTAAGAAACAGACAATTGAATAAATATATGGGTACCTCAGGAGTTTTGAGTGCAAAATGTGGAATTTCCCACATAGGCATCGTTCCACTGTTGTAATAATGTGGAAAAGCGCTCTGAAAATTATGTGTAGAGCGCTATATATTAAAAAACTACATATTATTATTATTATTATTATCATTATTTATTGTTATTATTGTTATATTATTATTATTATTATTATTATTATTATTGTTATTATTATTATTGTTGTTATTATATCTGATATATTAACCTACAGTAGATTATACAATTTTAGTCCGACAGTTTTAATTGCTATCTTTATAATTGTTACCGTTAATGATACTTTTCTATTTTCAGACACAAGAGACTCCATTACACTATTGTGCTAGATCGGGTAATACACACATCTTGTTGGAAATGGTAAAATATCTTGGACAAGACTCCCAACTGGCGCTTAATAAGCAGAGTAAGGTAAGGCTAATATTAAGCATATGCAGTTATTCACCAGTAAAATGTAACTCGAATTATAAAACTCAAATTAACATATAAATGTGATATGCCCATATTTGGGTGTAATATGACATCACCATGCCCGTGAGCACATCACAGAAATTTTGTTGATATTGTGGGCATTGCATAAATGTTAAGCTCTGTCCAGACTCAAATTTTATCAAAAAACTGTTGTATGTCCATATATAGTCATAATGTGCCTATATATGGTCAAGATGTGATGTCATCATGACCATATTTAGGCATGTCACATGTTTTTTTTTCAAATAAAATTTGAAGGTGCGGACAGAGCTTTAGTCCCTGCAATCATTTTATTTTGGTGTGCATAAAAAAAAATTATTAGTACTTTGTTTTTTTTTTTCACTTTTATTTAGAATGGTTGGTCGCCACTCTTAGTAGCAAGTGAACAAGGTCATGTGGACATAGTCAAGATATTACTTTCGTATAATGCTCGAGTAGATGTCTTTGATGAGGTAAGAACTTAAAGGCAATAGATTTAATTGAGATGTTTGATAAATTTTTTGATTTACTATAATACTTCTGAAAAAGCTCTTGATTGTGATCTGATTTATTGGTAACTTGTCAAAAATATAATACTTGATTGATTGATTGATTGAGTGATTGAGAGAATGGGATCAGTGGCGTATCTAGGGGTGCGTGGCGGCGCACGCCCACCACCCCGAAAAAAAAATTACTTGTTCCCCCAGTTTACCCCCAGAAATCATGGTCAAGTAGTTAAAAATCACCTAAAATCTCCTTACTTTGCGGATTAGTGTCCCTCAACTGATCATCAAGCCTCCCCCCCCCCTATCAAGCCTCCCCCCCCCCCCACCATTTCGACTTCGTCCTCATGGAGCACCCCCATTTCACAACTTATAGATACGCCACTGGATGGGATAGACTTATTGACTGTTTAGTTATAGTATATTTAGATCCGGAATATAATATAAATTTATTTATTAATTATTGGTTTAATTATACAGATTGATTGATTATTGGCCATACCTCTGGCAATGGTTTTGATTTTGATCTGAATTGATTATTAATTTATTGATTATTTAATAAATGGTACATATTTGTTATTGATTGTTTATAATACTTATATTGATAATTTGGTTTGATAGCATTATTGATTATAACACTGATTTTGACTTCATTAGAATTGTGAACGCTAAAGAGATTATTTTTTATTACTGAGAAATATTTTATAAGATGGGATGTGAAGATTCTGTATTTTGATTAATTTTTGTGGCATAATGTTTGCTACTGTTAGCATGGTAAACCTCTACTGTGGCAAAGAGTGAACATTGAAGTAGCAGGTGTAGGCCTACTTCTGTGGCACAAGACATTCTTAATGTTATATATTACATTTTCTTGTAGCATGGTAAAGCAGCACTGCATCTTGCGTCTGAGAATGGACATAAGGAAGTAGCAGATGTTCTTCTGTGGCACAAAGCATTTGTCAATGCAAAGTCGAAGATTGGTTTAACACCACTCCATCTAGCAGCTCGAAGTGGTCACAATGACCTTGTTGAACTATTGATCCATACCCACAATGCTTCAATTGATGCACTTTCTTTGGTAACAATTTTGTTTCTCATTCTTACTTCATTAAATGTAACCATGTAACTTTCTAACTATAATAGTCCACCCAACAAATATACATGTGGTAATAATTGATTGGTATTTCCCAAGTTGGGTACTTAGTAGGGAGGTGGCACCACTGCAATAATGCTTTGGCTTTTAAATGGCATTTGAGTGTTGGAAGCTGCTACTAAATTGTGCTGAGTGGATGATTCCGGGTGAAATGGAAGCTCACCCAGCAGCAATAGCGAATAGCCTGGTTTTCATAAAATTGCTACATTGTTGCTACATTGTTTTCACTGCAATCGTTACATTGTGTAGCCGTCCCTGATGCAATTGGGAAGGGTCCCAGATTCAACCAACCAATCAGCATTGCCGAATTCTGCCTGTGTGTTCAGCGATTTTATGGAAACCAGTGCCTTCTATCATTTGATAGCGACACTATACATTTCTATATTTAGATTTACATCAAGGATTGCCCCATGTAACACTCCAAATCTAGCAATGATCATGAATGTAGCTGCTTTATTATTATCTATATTTTTTACGCTGTCAGTTAACTGCATAATTTTTATACCATTTTATTATATATATATATATATATATATATATATATATTTGATGCAATTGTTTTTTACTAAGTGTATTGAATTTGACATAGACTTATACTGGATGCTATTTCCCACACTTTCTTATCACTTGACCTATTAATAAGACCCTATTAATAGGACATTGGACCTTATTAATAGGTCCATATTCTTATCATTGATCTTTTGTTCTTTCAATTTTGTTTATTAGGATTGTTTATTTCGGCAGACTAGTGGAATGATTTGTCCACCACATTTGCATACTTTGCTGTTGTAGGGCCTCCCCCCCCATTATTTCTGTTATATAATATCGTTGTTTCTTATCCCATTTGTACAGTCTCCTGATGAAGTCCACTGTGTGGACAAAAGCTTGAGAATAAATTCCATTGTTAGTCTCAAAAGTGCTGCTGTCATTTATTTCATATTGATCATGAATAAGAAACTTTTCACTTTTGATGTGCCTCATTTATTTTCAGGCTAAGAAAACACCCCTTCATATGGCAGCTCAATTTGGACAACTAAAAGTTTGTGAGACACTCCTACAATTAAAAGCTGATTCTAACGCTACAGATAATGTAAGTATAGATTACCACAATTATGGTATCGTTATTTCAATTTTAACATAAAACACAATCAATATTTTTTATTCAAAATATCTGGAACCAATCTAGCTATTAATGAATATATGAAATAATAAAACATGTTTTTGTATATATACAAGTCAATAATTCCTGTTATTGTGTGTGTTGCAGCTATGTAATAATAGTACATCAAACATAAATAAAATTCATTTCAACTTTTTTCTCTCAATTATTACCGTACCTTTATTATTATTACACATTGTTAAATATAAAATATAGTACAGTATACATTTTCTGTCATTGTTAATTTTATTTTTTTCATCCCTCTTATTAACTTCTTTATTATAATTACATGTCATTAAACAGTACAATTTTTCTGTCATTGTTAATGTTATACTTTATTGTTATTATCTACCATGTCTTTAAACTGTTTTTATTGAATATTGCTACATGTATTTTATATGAAGTGAATAAAAATTATTATTAATATTTAACTGAGAATTATCAAATTATCTGAATCATTTGCTTAAGATGGTGAAACAACAGAGGACTTTGGAAGCTGCTATCAGTGTAAGCCTATAATAAAAGGTGTAATCACCGAAATATTGCTTTTGCCTCACAGATACCAAAATTATATATCTATATATCCATAAATTGTATGTTCACACCTGTGCTGGTACAAAAATGTTCACCTTTACACTATGTTCACACTATATCAATGTTTTATTTCACAATGTGTTAGTGATTGTGACAATGTTGCCCATATGGATATGATGTCATATTTTTTTTTCATTCCTGATAATGACATAATTAATGTTGAAAATATTGAATCCCAACATGATGGCATGCATTTCAATACTTGGAGTATGTATTATACTTTCTTATGATGTCATATCACATCACATCCGTAAATAGACGTGATGTCATATCACATCCATAAATAGACATGATGTCATATCACATCCATGCCTAGACATGGTGATGTCATATCACATTCATATACACATGATGATGTCATATCACACTCTTATAGGCATGATGATGACATATCACATCCATGCATAGACATGGTGATGTTATATCACATGTCCATATAAACATGATGATGTCACGCCACACTCATATAGACATGATGTCATATAACATCCATACATACACATGAGGATGTCATATAAACCGAAGGTTCCACTGATTATATCTCAAATAAGATAGTATAATACATACTCCTAGTATCGAAGTGCACGCCATCATGTCAGGATTCAATATTTCGACATTAATTACACCTATACATGTTTCTCCTGACGCAAATCCAGTTATTGTTTATTATTCCATCACGACAATAACAATTACTATTAATTATGTCATCATCAGGAATATGATGATGTCATATTACATCCATACATAGGTATGATGATGTCATATCAATTCCATCCATATATGGGCAAATCACAGGTATTTATCACTTGGGATAGTGTGGACAGCCCTTTTAAGTTATTCTGTCTGGTTTTAGCTTCGCTAGACCCTTAAAATGACTGGTAATCAATTTAAAGCCAGGCTTTCGGAGGAAATTTTTTTTTTTTTTTATGTAGTACAACTGATTTGTCTAAGACACAAAAAGAATATTTAAAAAAATAGCTTGTGAGTGGTTAATGAGATACGGATTTTTGAATATTTAAAAACTGGGGGAAAAAGGGTGCAACCACATTTCCCCCCAGTTTTTAAATATTCAAAAATCTGTATCTCATTAACCACTCACGAGTTTACCATCAAATATGCTTTTTTGTGTCTTAGAAAAATCAGTTGTACAACATATCAACATTTTTTTTCCTTGGGAGTCTAGCTTAAGGATTTTTCTATTATTAAAGTTATTTGGTATCTCTTAAATATTTATCATTTTAAAAGTTTTTTACATTTTACTAGACAGATTATATTTATTAGAAATGTAATTGTCAGATTGCCTTTATATGATTAATTCACTGATCTATTTATATGTGATTTAGATGTAGATTGTCTTGTCTTTGGAAAAATTTTTGTTATTCCCATTCTTTAGAAGACATTATCACCTGATTTTTTAAATTTTTTTTCAACATGTTTTTGAATAACGCGAGTTACACACGCTGAACAAATTTATCACTTTGATCGTTTTGCAATTATTATTATTCTGTTTACTTTGTTAGATATCAAGTAAAATATAGAAATGCTTCATGTTTGTATAGTATGGGATGGGGGGAAGTGTAGGAGTGAAAGCATCCCCTTTCCTGGCTTCTTTTCCCCACACCAACCATTTTCCAATTGATTGGTGTAAAGGTGTTTGACTTGGAGGAAAAAAGTAATATAATTGATGATTATCAATGAGTACGTTGTGACAGATATGGAGATGAGCTCTATATTTTACATATTATTATATTATTTTGACATCATATTATAAATATTTATATGCATGAAAGTATAAGGTGTAAATTAAAAACAAGCTACATATTCTATTATCTAGTAACCCCCTCCTTTTGCCAGTATTTCCTAGTTAATACTATTTTCTCTTGTGATAAATGTGAACAATTTTTGAAACCACATTGTCATTTCAGGCCCATAACCAGGATTGTGGACCCAAAATTTGTTTTTGGTTGGGACATTTGAAGAGTAATGTTTTACATTTATCAAAATGGAATATGGTCTTTGACAATTGCTGCAATTTATTATGCAACACCATAGGACATGTCATTCAATATTCTTAACTTTTAAGCTACCCCGATTGTATTATTCTTTCTTCTGCTTATCATTATCCTGCCCTCATAAGTATTGTTTAGTCCCATCCATTATTTTCCACATGTATTACATATTTCAATATTCTGTACATTAGTGTTTTGTCCCCAGCTATTATTTTTGCCGTCTATTCCTGGCATCTATTCATTTTCCTACCGTGATTTATAATGTTTAGTTCCCATCTATTTCACTCCAATATATTTCTGTATTTCATTATCTTTCTCTCTACACTGTTTTGTTTCTGCTAATATTTCTCCCATCCGTTCATGCAACACATTATTCTGCCGCTCATTAAAAAAAATTCTGCCTCCCTCTATTATCTCTCCGATATATTCCTGTCTTTAGTTTTCCTATCTCTAATCTATAACTGCCTATTCCAATTCATTATTTCTTCTTATTTTTTTTTTGTTTTTTTGCCTTTCAATACCCTATCCCTCATTTATAATTTTCTGCTCCAATTCATTATTCCTCCAACTATACCCAGTTTATTCCATTCCTAATAATTGCATATTCCAATTCTCTAATTATGTCTTATGGAGTACCATGGACATCAGTTCTTGATGTTTTGTCATTTTTTTTATACCAAATATTTTTTAATGGTTTCTCTGTAGCCAGATATTATGTGATGACTTATGTAGAATTAAGTTAAGAGTGTTAAAAGTGTCCGGGAAACTTGGATTACTGGATTGATTGAGTTGGTTTTCATTTTCAAGATTACCATACAAATCAAAATACACAAGGGCGGATCCAGAGAAAAATCTTGATTCGGGAGGAGGGGGGCATGTGACGAGCAAAGCATAGAGCCGGGTTGAGTCTGAGGTTTTTGTCTAGAAATGCTTGACCATAGACATGCAATTTAATAAATAAAAAAGTAGCTTGTTTTGGAGTGCTATGCTCCCCTGTTACTCTGTTTTCTTTCTTTTTTGAAGGGAGGCCCTAACCCACATCAGTGCTGGCCCAGCGGAGTAGGATTGGACCCCCACCCCCGCATTGTCCAAAAAATAATGATTTGCCTATCTAAATAACGTTATTTTGATTGCCAATCCCTAATGTTCTGGTAAAGCACAAATTGGACCATACTAAGCTCTAAAAACTCACCTTGAACCCTGCCAGGAATTTTTTTTTTATTTTGGGACCAGGACCGAGGCTCTAGTTGGCCCCTTTGATTTGCACCCCCTCCCCATCAGATATGTCGGACTTCTTGTCATATTTCTGGCGCCACCACTGACCCCCCCCCATCTCCCCCTGAATCCGCCCTGATACAGATAAAATTTATATAATGAACACTAACAGACAAACTTCAAAATGGTGCTTTCCATCAAAGCCATAAAAAGCATGATTTGTGATTGGCATAAACCACACAAAGAAAAATACATTGTCTACATACAAAGTAGGAATCCAGTAATTATGCAACTCATTTAATTGCACAAAATACTGTACATTCATTTTGACAGGAGCACTGAATGTATACATTTTAGTACTGTAGTTCCTCAGGTAGCCTACCTTGTGTATAAGCCCGCCCTCTAACTTATGTCTGATTTCTTATACCATCGTTTCCCTGGGCGAAAGCCCATGGCATAATTTGAATAAGTAGCGCAACTGACTTCCAATGTGATTAGCCTCCTTTCCAAAATCTGCTCAATATAAACAGGGTAATTCCTTGGCCCACCCTCTTTCCCTCCTACTTCCAAAATCTGCCAAATTTTGTGTTTAAAGGGGTAGGCTTACACTGGAGGAACTACAGGTGGTTGGCTTATATTAGAGGAACTATATAGCAATAGAGCACACGATCACCATTATGAATGCCAAAGGTTGACACTCTCTCTCTTTTCTATCATTTAATGATCAATTATTTTCACATTGGCACTTTTTCACAGACCATCAGAGCTTTAGATTTTGTAAGTTTGATATATTTCTTACGCTACATGTTTTGCTTGAAATCACTGTTAAACAATTTTGTAATTGTTTTGTCAAATAAATTTATATGTTTGCGATATAGTACAGTGATATGGTGTAATGCAAACATTGGTTGTTACTTCGCCAAGAAAACTTTCAAAGAATATTTTGTTTTGTAAATAAATATGTCAGTCTTGCTATAAAGGTGTCCTGTCTGCATTTTTATAATTGAAGACAATGCTTTGAAACCCTAACTTTATTGTTTTGTATTTGCTAACCTATTATATTATTCGCTGTGGATAACATGCAAACAGCAGTTATGAATCTAGAGAGGTTTGGCCAGATCTGCTAAAATTGTTAGTTTCTTTTAAAATAGGTTCAGAATTTGCTTCTGCAATTGGTAATCTCAACTTGCTTATGCTGGTCGTTCTGTGTTTATTATTTTTACTGGGGAACAATGCCCCAGCAAGAAGGGGAAGGGGATCACCCCTTGTCGACAAAGCTGAAACCCTCGTTATAAAATATCTCAGACCAGCTTAGTTCACTTGACCGTTGGGAGTCTGCCGGACAGCTTTGCCCAATGAATGCATATACACCTCAAATCCCCTTATTTTGGGAGCTAGTTCCCCTCACCTAATCATCGAGTCCCCACTTAATTCACCTTATCCCCCATCAGCTTTCCCATTTTGACTCCTATAGATGCCACTGCCCAGAATCCTTGGATTGGAAGGTGTACTACTGTCATACTATCATCAATTTCAACTAGACTATTGATATCTATGGATAGGCATTTTTAGAATTTTCCCTTTTGATATTTTCTGTCACTATCGCTTTATCTGTGTGACTTGGTTTATATTCCTAATTTGCTTTACACCAATTAATGTATATAGTTCCTAATTTGTATACATACATTAAGTCCTGTTTAGATTTTTGGTGATACAAAGCACAAGTTGCTAAACTCACTTTTGCTTTGGATTATTGTTTATTTTATATACTGGTCCCTTTCAGAGGATGTGGTTAATGATAAATATTTGTCGTAGACTAACCATGTAAGTTTGTCGGTAAAATATAACAGTTTCAAGTGCTCTATTAAATGTCTGCTTCAAAAGGGTATTTATTTATTAATCCTACATGAACACAAATTTTTAATAAAAATGAATGTAGTAATGTTGTGTAAACATTTGAAGATTTAAAAAAAATTGTACTTTACAAAAATGCAAGTACGATGTGTTGCATTAACATTGAGAGCATTCCGCCTTTGTAAATTTAGTTTTCATAACATAATTTTCTAACATTTTACATTTTTGAGTTTTTGTGAGATGGACATTACATTTTTAAGAGGGATAGGCAGTTTTTAAGTTGAAGAAGATTTACAAGAACGTGGGTGAATTCGCTTTAACAATAATAGTACAGTAATCCTTGATTGATTGATTGACATTTTCTTCTTCAGCATGGCCAGACACCGTTACATTTAGCAGCTGAGAATGACCATGCAGAGATTGTCAAACTGTTCCTTCAACACAAACCTGACCTTGTTACGATGGCAAATGTGGTAAAAAAATTTACTATTTATATACCTCTATACTGTATATTCTTGCATATAAGACAAGGTTAAAATAGCAAATTACGATCGTATAACAGGGGGTCATCTTATATACACAACACATAAACCTTTTTTATTCTTAAATCATATTTGTCTTGTACAGACGTCCGTAACATGAAAATTTACTATTGAAATGATTGTACTTACTGCTAGTACGAGGAAATGCAATTTTAAATGTATTTTCATTTTGATGAACATTTAAAAACCCATGAAATGGTATTGTTTGGAAGATTTGCCCTACATTCGGGTCTGTTTTTAGCTAGTTAAATGCAGTATCAAGACCTTAAATAGCAGCAAAGGGTGAAACAAGGGGTCGTCTTATACACCTGAGGTATCCAAATTGTCCAAAAATCTTCTTAAACTTGGGGGTTGTCTTGAATATACGGTAATATACCAGTACAGTAATATAATATTAGGTAGAGCACCTTCTTTCGAATAAAAAGTTTAAGCTGTTGGTCCTGTGTGCATTATGGCCCATATGCATGTTAAAGAACGCAGTAAACTCTTCGGAAAAGAGTTGGGGATTGTCTCTCAGTGTACTGCCCAATCACCACCAGAAGGACCCCACTGGAAATAAGTCTTCAGACTTGGACTCATTGCGTCGTACGACAAGTTCAACTCTGCTCCCTGCGAGTGGTAGACAACGCGACATTGTTTGTTGATTGATTAGCAGTGTGAAGGGGTCGTTGTTAAAGACGATCTGTTGCGTACGCGTCGTCGCATTGCGTTCTTCATAGCATTGTGTCTGTTGACGATCGTCGGGCGCTGTAAGTGCTTGACTTTAGTAGGTTATCCTCAGTGCGATTTAACAACAAAAATACTCCTATCCTATTTAGATATTTGTGGAATAACACGTTGTCTCTCCTCAACTAAGCATATTTGAATGCAAATTACCAACTTTTTTGATAGTAAATCATATGGAATACTGGGACCAGTGAACTAATGTGAAATGCATATAAAGGATCCGGCGGCGATATGTAGTAGACCAACATAATATTGTCATGAAATTTTCATCATTTCAATTACAGGATGGTTCTACGTGTGCTCATATAGCAGCTGCAAAAGGAAGTGTTGCAGTCACAAAAGAACTCCTACGCTTCAATAAAGCTGGTGTCTGCAGTGCAAGAAATAAGGTAAATATATTTAAATTATTCTTTCCTTAGGATAAGCACATTTAAAATCCTTCATTGAATCTTTTATTTTTTCATAAATAGTAAGCTTAAGAAATTTTGACAAATTATCCACTTAAATTTGTTTACACTTAGAAAAAAATGTATTGTTGCTGCATTTTCAATTAGGAGGGCTAAGTTAATATCTGGGAATTTTACTAGGTGTAGAAAAAATATCAGAAGGTAAACACACAACAGTGGAATATACCATTTTATAATGGGGTATTATCTAAGACTTATAAATGCTATCCCACACCCAGTTAATTCTACTATTGTGTTTTTCCCAATGGTGTTTATTTTTATTTAAATCTTACCACCCCATCACTGAGTTTCTGATAATACTGGAATTAGTTTTTGCATGTGACCTGCAGGCATTACACCTAGTTATAAAAAATATGTTTGGCAATATTTGTTGCAGGTGAATTTTGAAAAAAAAAATGTTTTAACTACCAGAACAAATTTTCTTTAGGCGAGACGTTTTTTTTAATTCCTTTTTTCACGTACTTATTTTTTAAAAGATCATCGGAGGAGGGTGGAATAAAAATAAAATTTTATTAGTGATTGTATAATGGGATGCTTAAAATGATTCTAACTTATATAAACAGGAAGAAATATACATATCTTATTTTTGAAGATTTCAAGGCTAAAATTTCCATTTTTCTATGGCAGCTGGTGCGCTAATTGGCCAAAAATAAAATTTTACTTTTTATTCCAAAAAACATCAATATTTTCAGTCAGCGGGTTTACTAAACAAGGTAGAAAAAAAAGTCTAGCCTTACCTAGAAAATGGATGATAATGATTGTATTAGAATTGAATGTTTTTCTTGTTATGATAACAGACAAATGACTCAACAGCATTACATCTAGCAGCAGAAGGCGGTCATACTGAGGTTGTTTCTGTTTTACTAGATGCAGGAGCGTCGCCAAATGAAGAAAATGCAGTGAGTAAATTTATGTATTAAATACATTAAATAATTTAATCATGTAATTATATTTATTGTGTTACAATATTTTAACTTGTGCATTAACACAAAACATTACATAACATTGGTGAACATTGAGGTTGAATTATGTCAGAAAATGATGTGAACACATAGTTGCAGCAATGTTGTTTGTTGGAGATTACATTATGAATATGTAAATGAGGTTAAAAAAATATGTTTTGAACACTAAAATGTAGTAATGGTATTTATAATGTTCTTATTATATGAAATTGTTGGATGGGAACATTATTAGTAATTCAGTGGCTATCTACACCAGTCTTAAACAGACTCCTAATTCATATTGGATGTTATTATCCTAATACTATCCATACATATAATAACACCAAGAATTAGGAAATGGTTGAAGACTGGTGTAACAATAGCCTATTAATATAATAATAATAATAATAATAATAATAATAATAATAATAAATTCAATGATTTTCACAGGATGGCATGACAGCGATTCATTTAGCCGCCAAATCCGGCCATGTAAAAGTTCTTGACGCTCTCAAGAATCGCATTGACTTCAAGAGCCCTAGCAGGATGACAGGCTTAGGAGCCCTACACATATCGGCACAGTACGGTCAGGTTGATTTTGTTCGTGAATTACTGCAGAAGGTTCCTGCAACAACAAAGAGTGAATCTCCATCTGGAGCAGTCAACAAAGATCTGCCGCTCAGTGATGTAAGATAATTTCTTATTGGTTGCATAGTTAACTAGTCCATTTTCAAGCCTGGGTGGCAAAAGTGCCATGGGCGCCAACAATTCTCCAGAATTGTTATTGTGCTGTCCATACTCCAGGTTACATAAATCTGCTCAGTAATTATGTATATATTTTTATTTTAGTGACTTATTGCTTCCTCATACACGTCTGCCTATTTTTCATAATGTCTTAATCGTCTTTCACCAGTGTACAGTATGTATATAGGCCTACTTAATATTTCTTTTTATTTTTAATAATAATAGAGTGGCTATAATCTCATTAAATCTGTGGGTGTACTAGGGTGTAGGTCATTTCATCCTGGGGTGAGGATGTGTGAAAATTGAGGATGCGGAACTGGGGGGGTGCGAAAATTGAGGAAGCGGTACTAAATTTCTATTCCAATGAAAATTTATTGTAAATCCAATCCAACCATTAAGATATTTTTTATATAAAATTATGTTCTTTTTTCAAAAGATGACTACAGAGAATCACAGTTTCACACTTTTTCCATGTGTTTATAAGTCATACTCAGTGTTTCACATGTTTTTTCTTGATAGAGTGGCTTGACCCCTTTACATTTGGCATCGTTCTCTGGTCATGAGGGCGTCGTTCGTCTGTTGCTGAATTCGCCGAACGTTCAGCCTGATGCACCAACATATAACACAGTAAGTCATTTGAAATTCCTTACAGATATGTCTTTATTATATGCTCTACAGTATTATAATGTTGATTTTATTCTAGGGCTCTCTCAAGATTATCAAATTTACAAAAAAACTGTTGTATGCCCATATATAGTCATATTGTGCCTATATATGGTCATGATGTGATGTCAACATGACCATATTTAGACATGTCACATGTTTTGTCAATTTTTTTTTTGATAGTCTGGACAGGGCTTTAAGTTTTTAAATCTTGGAAAAAATACAAACCAAACATTCAATAAAATTAAATTTAAGATATTTTTTTTTAACTTGTAAGTTAAAGTATTAAATTATTTATTGTTTTATTGTTACTGTATATGTTCAAATTTAAGTTCAAGTTTATTTATTTAATCACATTCGCAACTTCCATAAGAAGCTGAATTGCATTGATTTGTACAGTACCTTAAAACATCAAAGCAAAGAGAA